CTCCTCTTCCTCTCCCTCCCTCCTTCTCTTCCCTTCCTCCTTTCCTCACCTGCCCTCCCAATGGAGCGTCAGCTGCCTCCAGCACCAGCAAGTTCAGAACCTCCCCCGCCTCTCGTCCTCTTTCCTGCGTTTCCCCCGCCCTTCCTCCATTCCTTTCCTGCCATAGCACCTACAAGACCGCGCCCGCCCGGGTAGGAAGGAAGGTGGTGCATGAATTCGTAGGCCCCGTGTAATTACCAATTACGGGTAGGAAGGAAGGTGGTGCATATGCCCCGTGTAATTACCAATTACGGGTAGGAAGGAAGGTGGTGCATGAATTCGTAGGCCCCGTGTAATTACCACAGGAAAAAGCCCTCCGCCCTCCGATACAGAGAAGGGCGTCGGCCTCCCTTCCATGAAAATGCCGAGGTCTCGGTTCCCCACGACACGACGCATTAGACCAAAGGGCGTTTCCTCCCCCGTTCTGCCTGACTTTTCCTCTATCACCGCGTACACTAGAACTGTCTTTCCTACATCCTTACGGCACTCTCCCCCTGCCCCCGGTCAACCCCTTCCCGTACCTGAAAGCTCTCCGCTGTCACCTCCTCCCGCCCCATAGTCACGACGACAAAAGACTGGGTCGCTGGCAATTTGAAGAGGGTCCTGCAAACGAAAGGAAGAAAAAGGAAGAGAGAAAGAAAGGAAGGGAAGGGTGAAACTAGCCGCCGCGCACAACATCATGTGGAGAGCTTGTGCATATGTATTCGAACGTGGCGATGCCTATTTTTGCATTTTTGCCCTGCCCTCTTGGCGGGAAATGCTCTTCAATGTGACACAGAGGGTAAATGGGATCTTTATTTTATCAAGGACTTCTGCAGAGCCTTTGAACTGACACTCAGATTGTGAACTCCATAAGGACGACCGGCCCACAACGTACCGCACTGCCTCTTGCAAGGCCTCCAGGCTTTCGATTCCGTCTACCGTGTGGTGCTGTACAGAGAGTGGTGGAGTGTCAGTGCTATTTATCATCGTCGGCTGCATAGGTCTGCTCCATCCTCTTTTCTTTCCATCTCAACCTCCCCCCCCCCCCCCCC